AGCGACAGCCTGAGGGAAGAAACTGTCCCTGTCCCTGGTTGTCTTAGTGCACAGTGACCTGTAACGCCGTCCAGAGGGGAGGAGTTCAAACAGTTTCTTGACCCATGAGGTGTCCAGGTCCTCCATGGAGGGCAGGCTCACACCAATGACCTTTTCTGTAGTCCTCACTGTTCGCTGGAGTCTGTACTTGTCCTGTTTGGTTGCTGAGCCAAACCAGACAGTGATGGAGGTGCAGAGAACAGACTCGATGATTCCTCTGTAGAACTGTATCAGCAGCTCCTGGGGCAGGTCGAACTTCCTGAGCTGGAGCAGGAAGTACATCCTCTGCTGTGCCTTCTTGGTGATGGTCCTGATGTTGGACGTCCACTTATTATACATGTATTATGCTTATTATACATCCTTTTTTACAGTACATATTTTATTTCATGACTCAATTGCATAATGAAGCATATCATACAATTTAGGAGCAAACAGATGCTGTATTATTTTTTATTTGACGGTGGAAACATCTGTCCTTGTCGGCTCACTCTACTTAAATGTCTTCTCTGCACATCTTTGAGAATTCCTGCAGAGCGCTCTCTGGTCTGAGGTTGTTTTGCTTCTTGATTGTTGATGTTTTGGTCAGGATCAGGTCAGCATCACATTTCTATGCTTGGTGTTATTTTATTGTTTGCGTTCTCTCATGGTCCCATATTGTGCGATGTGGCTTGACTGGCTGTTTTTCTCTGTAGAGAACATTATAGAGTTCATTTTCCACCATGTGTATATGTGTTCTCTTCCTGTAGTCATTATATAACATTTGAGGTTAAGGTTAAAGGCTGTTATTTCGTGTGCAAGTGTTTTCAGACTGGTCCCAGCAGCAACAGGCCAAATTTGAGGTCACAGTTGGCCAGGAAGCCAGTCCAGCGGTCAGATGTTTCCTCGAAGTGACACAGTGTTTCTCTGACTGATGACCGTCCCCTCTGCGCTGGTTCCCAACCACTGGAGTGTGGTTTGTTGAAAGAGCATCCACCCCAACAACTGCATGAGCTTAGTGCTGTAATTAGCCTATCTAGGTCTGAGTTCCACATATGTGTTCGATCATGTGTCCTTCAAGAAGATAAGACTTTGTGGTTGTCTTTTTTCCATCTTATCCACAAGCAATCATTTCAACCAAACAAAATCAAATATTCATTCTTTAAACTGTGCAAAGGGGTGATAGTTATAGATTACTGCCACCTTTGGCATGCTGTGCTTCAATGACGTTTGTAGGGTGAAAGTTTTTTTAATCACCTTTTACATACAGAAGAATTAACCACTAATCTCAAAATAAATCAACAGCTTAGTTGATAGTTTAAATGACTTTTAGTTACTACCGTGGTTTAGTTACTTTCTTTTGCTCACATAAACCTGGACTGCAGCTCTTCATGTTGATTAGACCATTGTTTGTATTTTCAGATTTCAGGTTCTTTTCTGTAATAGAAGAGGAGCTGGACTAACTTCTTTGCCTTCGTCTGTCCCTGTTTGATCTCAGTCATCTCCTCTTTCATTCAATTCTTTCTCCTATCTTTCATTAACCTCTTTTTTTAAATTTCCCTCTTTCAGTGTGTGTTGTTTCTTGTATTGAAGCACCACTGACACACATCCTTCTTCCTCCTCTATGCTGCTTCTCTTTTCTTCTGAAGAAATGCAGGCCTCTGTTTTAAGAAACCCAGATAACAATCTCATGTTTCTTTTCCTCTCTGCCTTCCTTCACTTGCTGTTTTCCTCCAGGCCCCATTTCTTATGAGATTGTGTGGATAAGGGACACCCACCACTGTACCGTGGCACTGAACTGTCTGTGCGTGTGATTGTAGACCAGATCCAGGTGTTTGGATGAAGTATGGACTTTAAAGAGTCTAGAAGACAAAGCAGACAGTGGGGTAGCTATCAGGCCGATCAGAGCTGAGGATCTGTTTGTTCTTTAGGTCCACTAAACACTTTGTCTGCTCTGTTGTGACTACTGGAAGAACCAAGGCTCTGTTGTCTAAGGGATCACTTTAGATAAATTTGACAAGTAGGTTCCGGCAGACAGGCATATTAATATTTGAAGATGTATTTGATGTGAGCTATCAGTAAGATATTACACATCTGAATATACTGAAGGAGGCACATATGATTTCAGGAGTTTTGGGATGGGAGTGGACAAAAAAAAATCTTACTGGCTTCTCCTGTCTAATCATATAGCTACTTTAGATGACATAGCTCTTGCCTCCAGTACTACTGTGAGGAACCTTGGAGTCATCTTTGATCAGAATATTTCCTTTAAATCACACATAAACCAAGTCTCTAGATCTGCCTTCTTTCAGCTGCACAATGTCGCCAAAATCAGGAGCATCCTGTCTCAAAGTGATGCTGAAAAACTGGTCCATGCATTTGTTACTTCCAGGCTGGACTACTGTAACTCTTTACTATCAGGATGTCCCAATAATTCCCTAAAAAGCCTCCAGTTAATCCAAAATGCTGCAGCCAGAGGACTGACAGGAACGAGCAAGAGAGATCATATCTCTCCCATATTAGCTTCTCTCCACTGGCTCCCTGTAAAAGTCAGAATAGAATTTAAAATCCTTCTCCTAACATACAAAGCCCTTAATAACAAGGCTCCATTGTATCATAAAGACCTCGTAGAGCCTTATCATCCTAACAGAGCACTTCACTCTCAGAGTGCAGGTTTACTTGTGGTTCCTAGAGTCCACAGAAGCAGAATGGGAGGCAGAGCCTTTAACTATCAAGCTCCTCTCCTATGGAACCAACTCCCAGTCTCAGTTCAGGAGGCGGACACCCTCTCTACCTTTAAGATTAGACCTAAGACGTTCCTTTTTGATAAAGTTTATAGTTAGGGCTGGATCAGGTGACCCTGAGCCTTCCCTTAGTTATGCTGCTATAGGCCTAGGCGTCTGGGGGGCCCCATGATGCTCTGATTTTCTTTCCCCTCCCCTCCTGCTCTCCTCTCCTCCCCTCTCCTCTCCTTCCCTCTCCTCTCTCTCCCTATGCTTCTATATGCCACCATTACACATTACTAACTTTGTGTCTCTCCCGTAGTGTGTCCTCTCTCTCTCCCTGTACCTTTCTGCAGGTTGCCCTGGCCCTGGAGCTCTACGTCTCTGATGAGCAGTCACCAGCCACATCGACCTGATCAGTGTTTGATTGTTGTGTCTTGTTGCTTTTCTTCTTTTGTCTCTCCTCTATCCACTCACCCCAACCGGTCGAGGCAGAAGGCCGCCCACCAAGAGCCGGGGTCTGTCGGAGGTTTCTTCCGTTAAAGGGAGTTTTTCCTCCCCACTGTCACCAAGTGCTTGCTCAAGGGGGATTTGTTAGGTTTTCACTCTGTAATAATATTGATAACAGTAAGGTCTAGACCTTAGTTTGTAAAGTGTCCTGAGATGACTTTGGTTGTGATTTGGCGCTATACAAATAAAATTTGATTTGATTTGATTTGATTCCTCCCAAAAAACAAATGTTGTGCTATTGCTATTTCATTCATCTTCAGTAAATGACACATCATGATAAAATTGCTCATCATGAAATTGGCCATAGCCTTAAGACACAGACATAAAGAATCCACTAAGCTCCACTAAACACCAGGGCTTGTTTTGTTGACCTGAGATATAAAGATTGATCATTTAACCAGGTGTCAAACCACAGAAATGCAGCATGCAAACACTTAAATATAGTTTTTATTACCAAAGACAAAAGTGTTTATAGCTTCTTTCTAAAAACCACACTCAATGGCAGGGTGAAAAACCAGCTGTCACAAAGAGGAACGTTAATTACTTATTTAAAAATGGTGATAATAGTGCAACGATTTTAGACACTCTCTCATGTGAGACATTCACAGTGTTGCACTGTTTTTTATGTAGTTGTGGAAGCAGTAGCAGAATCACAGTGTTAAAATACTGTTATAGGTAAAAGCCCTGGAATAAAATGTTTTCATAAGTACTTGAGTATTAGCATCTCTACTCAAAAGCACTCATTATGTAGAATGGGACATTTATTATTTGGATTATAATTACTGACGCCTTATTGTGTACATCATTTTAATGTTGCAGCTGGTAACAATGTTGTAGGCTTATAATTTGATGTACTGTTGGGGAGCTGATCAATTTCTCACCGAGGATCAATAAAGTCTTTCGATAATACTGTATTTTGTTTTATAAATCGGATTCTGAGTTTTTTCTTTATTTCTCAATGCAAATTTTTATTTTTACATTTTTTAAAAATAATGTTAACACCACAAATGGAATGAGTGATGTTTTGGAAACATTGCTGTTCATAAAGAAAATAATTGCCATGTTTCTATCAGTCTTTGGCAGCGATTATGGAGCTCACATTCTGTCCATTTCCATCTTTGTATGATGTGCATGTATTCTATGCCAGCTGCAAAAACTAAGTAGGAAATTATACCCTTTAAAATCCCTACAGTTCTCTAATCATTTTGGCCTGTTGCGATAGGTCATGATACAACTTTTTACCTTATTGGTAGTGGCAGGGTTCCTTTTAAACTTAGTCTATCTTGTTTATTATCTACAGGTTTACTTGGCTGGATTAGTGTGGAATTTAGTGAGAGGCAATAAACTGACACTTATTAACACCAAGGTATATGCTCAGCAGCCTTTGTGCTCTACTGATCAGGTGGTCCCTGCCCCCTCCAACAGAAGGTTAACACCAAGAGCTGTGCAATACTTTAGGGCTAATCAGCCAGTTAGGACCAGTAAATGGACACTTAGAGCTGTACATATGGATGTCTTTGCTGAAACATCTGTTGATAACATGCTGTGTGTCCAATAAGTCAGAGATAATACATTCTCGTTTCACATCATGATAGAGGATGGTTGTGATTGTTTAAAATTCCACTTAAAGTTGTTTAACTGGTTTCCTTGTGATTACAGAGACATTCAGGCACGCTAGACCATCATGCGGTACATTAAATCTATTAGTAATATGTAAGCACACACATATTTAATTAATGAATTTCTCCTCAGGTTGTCAGCGTCCAGTCGGTCTGTCCAGAGGAAAAGCTAAGGTGTGCTGCTACAGTGGCTGGTACTACTGCCAGAGCTGCCACCAGGACAACTCCTTTCTCATCCCAGCACGGCTGCTGCACAACTGGGACACCAGCAAGCACAAGGTGGGAAAGCACACACACATTTTATGAACATATGCACCATCTCAACATATTTAGTATGCCAGCTGTTTCTTATTTTGACTGACTGGAGCATCCACTGGGTATCTGCGGGTCTTAAGATGCATGTTTGCATGAGACAGAGTGACAGTTTTCCAGGATATTCAAGTCCTCGTTTCATGTGGTCTTCAAGTTAACCTGTTTTAATAAATTCTTGTCCATCTAGATTCCACTTAGTAAGTCTTATCTTTGCCATCATGTGAATTGCTATATCACGAGGGTGGAATTTACTCTTTTGACCTTTTGATTGTCACAGTGAAAGGTAAAGTAATTGCCATTGTAATGACTTTACATAGTTGTAAAATCCTGTCTCTGATTATTATAAACCGCTGTGCAGTGTTTTTGCAACTGATAAACCTTCAGACTCGCTGAACTATAACCCATCTGAGACAATACGCTCTCACGTATATTAATGCAGGGTTGGTCTTAGTCTGAATGTCCGCCAAAATCAAATATCATTGTTCTTGATTCCAGTGCAGAATTCTGCAGATGAGAGGAAATGGTTTGATATTTCAAAAGGTTATCCATTTATTTGTTGTCTTGTTGAAGGTTATATGAGATGACTGATACTATTCTCATTTCTGAGAGCCAAGATGTTAGCTTAGCTTAGCATAAAAACTGGAAACGGGGAAAGAGCTGGCCTGACTCTGTCCAGATACCAGCATTTCTGCAGGTCATAGATTAAAACATAATATAATATTTTGTTTGCTTACTCTATACATAAACCAGAATCTTTTCTTATCCCTACATCATCCATTTAATCATGGAACATACAATTGTTGGGTATCATCCCTTGTGTATCTGTTGTTCTTAATGTAGAGTCTGATGTGCTCCTCCAGGTGTCTAAACAGGCAAAGGAGTTCCTGGAGTTTGTGTATGAGGAACCTCTGCTGGACATCCAGCAGCTCAACCCTTGTCTGTATGAGCACTGTGAGCCTCTCAGCACTGTGCTACGTCTCCGTCAGCAGCTTCAGTCGCTGCGGGCCTACCTGTTCAGCTGCCGTGCGACCATTGCAGAGGACCTCCGACGAAGGTAGGTTGAGGTTGATGGTATTCCTGTAGCACTTTTCAAGAGAAAGTTGCATCTTATTTGTTTTTCTATTTAAGATCAATATAGCAATTAAGAAGACAAAATGATTTAGGTTGATACATTTTACACATAAAAATGTGTTTTGTGAAGAGATTTAAAACTATTGGACCAAAGTTTGTAAGAAAATCTGTTACAGATACTCTGTGGGCCTTAAATGCTACATCATAAAATCAATTCTAAAACAAGCAGGTGACCTATGAGAACCTGATAACGCTGGTTTTGACATGGTCATATTTTTTAGTTCTACTTTATTTTGATGATTCTGAACACCGGACATGTTCTGCTTCTGTTTATTGAGAGGACTGCATTTAGCGGCATAACTTGGATTTATGTAGTACTCCTAAAATCAGAAAAATAAATGGCATTCCATTTATTGGCTCAAATGTGTTTTAGCTAATACAGTTGTTAGAAATTAACCCAGTTCTTTTGTTGGAAGCACGAGAAGTGACGACAGGAGAGGACAGTTTAAAATCAACAAAGTTTACTGAAAGTCTGATTACAAGAAAGTCTTTACAGCACTGGATTCAGAGAGACAGAGCTCCCGCAGGAGATCCGACTTATGTTTTAACAATACATTTATCTTCTTGGGCTGCTCCGCCCTGGACAGAGGTACTATACTCAACACTTCGTAATCCTATTGGTCATTTGGCATGAGTTGGTTAACTCCTGCCTGCTTAAATGTAATCAAAACCAGGTGTGTGTGTGTGTGTTGTGATGTGATTTTCCAGGTGGCAACTGAACAATGGGTCATCTGTGCTGTAGACCAGTGGTCCCCAACCCCCGGGCCGCGGACCGGTACCGGTCCGTGGATCAATTGGTACCGGGCCGTACAAGAAATCATTAATTATTTCCGTTTTATTTATTATCTAAGTCTGAACGATCTTTTATTTTGAAAAATGACCGCATTCTCTCGGTTACATCTCGGTCACTTGAGCGCCAAAACTGGCTTACTTGTGGACATATTCAGCCTGCTCAATGAACTTAATCTGTCACTTCAGGGGAAAATGACAACTGTCTTCAAGTTGGCAGATAAAGTAGCTGCATTTAAAGCCAAACTGGATTTGTGGGGACGGCGCGTCAACAGAGGCATTTTGGACATGTTTCAAACATTAGCGGGGATTTTGGATGAGACTGAGCCTGAGCCTTCATTCTCCCAGCTGGTGCACGATCACCTGTCTTTGCCTTTAAAAGAGTTCGAGCGCTACTTCCCAACCACAAAGGACCCACGAACTGCCAAGGAATGGATCCGCAACCCATTTGTCAACAAACCAGGTGAATCCAGCAGGTCTGTGCAAGAAGAAGATCAACTGCTGGAGATCGCAAATGACGGCGGCCTTAAAAGTATGTTCGAGACAACAACTCTGTCGGTGTTCTGGATTAAAGTCATGACAGAATACCCTGAGATCGCCACCACAGCACTGAAAACCCTGTTGCCATTTCCGACATCCTATCTGTGTGAAGCAAACAAAACAACGG